TCAGACTAGACATCAGAAGGCACTACTTCACTGTCAGGGCGGCTAGGATCTGGAACCAACTTCCAAGGGAAGTGGTGCTGGCTCCTACCCTGGGGGTCTTTAAGAAGCAGCTTGATGCCTACCTGACTGGGGTCATTTGAGTCCAGTTTTCTTCCTGCCCAGGCAGGGGGTCGGACCTGAAAATCTACAAGGTCCCTTCCGACCCTAATTCTATGATTCTATGATTTGGTTTTCACATTCCTGAAGGGGGTTTATATGGAAGATGGAGATAAACTGTGGCTGCATGGAACAGGACAAGGAGTAATGGTCTTAAAATTGCAGTAAGGGAAATTTAGGCTGAATATTACTAAGATCTTTCTCACTATGTCAATGGTAAAGTACTAGAACAGGTGACCCCCCAAAATTGCAGAATCTCCACCCTTAGATGTTTTTAAGAGCAGGTTAGACAGGCACTTGTCTATGTTGATTTAGGTAGAAATGATCCTGGCTTCAACAGGGGACTGAATAAATTACACTGCTTTATTTGCTTAAAGTAGTTTAAAAACAAATAGTAATGGGACTGCAGCAGGATGCGAGCATGAGCAGTCACCATGCAGAACAAAATGCACATAATGCCTGGACACAGGAGGAGGGGTGGATGTCGTATACTTAGACTTCAGGAAGGCCTTCGATACAGTATCCCACCCCATACTGGTGAACAAGTTAAGAGGCTGTGACTTGGATGACTACACAGTCCGGTGGGTGGAGAATTGGCTGGAGGGTCGCACCCAGAGAGTCGTGGTGGATGGATCGGCTTCGACCTGGAAGGGTGTGGGCAGTGGGGTCCCGCAGGGCTCGGTCCTTGGACCGATACTCTTTAATGTCTTCATCAGCGACTTGGACAAGGGAGTGAAATGTACTCTGTCCAAGTTTGCAGATGACACAAAGCTATGGGGAGAAGTGGACATGCCGGAGGGCAGGGAACAGCTGCAAGCAGACCTGGACAGGTTACACAAGTGGGCAGAAAACAACAGAATGCAGTTCAACAAGGAGAAATGCAAAGTGCTGCACCTAGGGAGGAAAAATGTCCAGCACACCTACAGCCTAGGGAATGACGTGCTGGGTGGCACGGAAGTGGAAAGGGATCTTGGAGTCCTAGTGGACTCCGAGATGAACATGAGTCGGCAGTGTGACGAAGCCATCAGAAAAGCCAATGGCACTTTATCATGCATCAGCAGATGCATGACGAATAGGTCCAAGGAGATGATACTTCCCCTCTATCGGGCGCTGGTCAGACCGCAGTTGGAGTACTGCGTGCAATTCTGGGCGCCGTACTTCAAGAGGGATGCGGATAACCTGGAGAGGGTCCAGAGAAGGGCCACTCGTATGGTTAAGGGCCTGCAGACCAAGCCCTACGAGGAGAGACTAGAGAAACTGGACCTTTTCAGCCTCCGCAAGAGAAGGTTGAGAGGCGACCTTGTGGCTGCCTAAAAGTTCACTACGGGGGCACAGAAGGGAATTGGTGAGGTTTTATCACCAAGGCGCCCCTGGGGGTTACAAGAAATAATGGCACTCTTTCCTGCCTATGCAGAGGGTCAGACTCGATGATCTATTGAGGTCCCTTCCGACCCTAACATCTATGAATCTATGAATAAATAACCCCACCAAATCTCTTAGCAAATTTCCAGGGAAGAGGAAAAAATAAGACAGCAAGCTGCTGGGTCTAATACCTTTAAAGCAATCAACCAAACCAACCACTCACACACACAGAAATGTCAAGGTGAGAAACTTAAAAAAAACAAAAAACCCACAAAACAAAGCTCTTTCATTCATACCCAGCAACAAATAGATCAACTTCCCACCACCAACTTCACTGCAATGGAGACCATTCCAGCAGGTTATGTCTTGGAAACAACAATTCGGACTGTATTTTATGAAACATTACCAACCACACTTCCATTCTCATGTCATCAAAAATTATGAGTCTGGCCCTGCAATGTGATGCAGCTAGCTTAAAAATCAGGGTTTTTTTTTTCTTTTTTTCAGTACATCTGGGGTTCTACTTAGTTGTCGGGGGGGAGGTTGGGGCGGGGAGTTTGTTGGGGGGGGGGTTATGAGTCCTTATGATGCAATAGTTTTACTTTTTCAAACTTCTTACTATGATTAGCCATGAGGGTGGATACTCATTCTGCATTCGAATCTCAGCATCCATTTAAATAAAATCTCTTCGTTCCAGTCACTGGGACCTTAAGAAAAGCACCAAACATTCTAAGAGTCGGGTGCTGTGTCAGGTAAAGAACATAATCTTTAATGGAAAAAAGATGCCAATTCAGTAACTAACCCAAGGGCCTGATATGGCAACGAAGGCAAGTACCTCTAAAAGTTAGTGTAAAGTTGCTCTGCAAGGTCCTGCATGCTTTCAGAAGTCTAGGAATAAATGTTAAGAGTTTTTAAAAACTGGTTAGAAATCAACAAAAACAAGCTACTCCTGCCCCAGTCTTTACTGTCTGCAGATAAAAAAGAGAAAGTTCTGAACATTGCATTCTGAAAGTTAAGAATGCAAGCCATTTCTTCAGAAAAAGAAGGAAAACAAAGTTTTATGCCTGGTAGTAGCTGACAGTCAAGCCCAGGCAAAATTATGCCACCTGAGAGAGAAAACTAAGATGTTTCTTCCAGTTTGTTTTTTTTAGACTGGAATGGAATTATTGATGCCAGAGCACTATGTTCATCTTCCTTCTGTTAATGCCTCTCAAATTTACTATTTCACAATCACCAAATTGAAAATGTTGACTTTTTTGCCTCTTAGATATGCC